TCTCTTTCACAAACTTTACTACAGCTTTCCTCACCTACATGGCTCACTTTTACTTCCGCCTGTCTGAACATCTCGTCGCCTATTTAATTCCCTGAGTATCCAACGTCTGTTTGGTTCTACTAACGCTTTTAATAAATTATTTCTTCCTACAACTATCGATGAGTGGAACGGTTTGACGGATGCTATTGTCAGCGAAAAAGTTGCTTTTAAATTTAGAGATTTATTACTAGCTACCCTTGACTCTTAATCGCTGTTTGTCTTTCTTTGTTGTTTGTTCTCTGCCGCCTGTATATTTTGGACCGCGAATTGACTGTTGAATATTTCGTTTGACATGCTCTGTTTTCTTTTTGTTCTTTGTTGCTACCTGTATGTTTTAGTAATTCAAAAACTGTAACCATGAACTGCATTTTCATTGAAATTTGTACTTGGATTGTTCCCCCCCTTATGTAATGCCCCGAGAGAGGCCCTTAAGGGTAAAATAAATGATGATAATGATGATGAATGCAGCATGCGGAGTCAAGTTCTTACCTAAACGAACACCTGGCGTACATCTGGATGTGACGCGCCGGAGCGAGACGCGAAGTTTTATCCACGCACTGGACATGTTTATGATGTTTTTCACTGCTGAATTGGTCTCAACTATCTGTCAGTACACCAACAAGTACGCTTGCATGAAAATTTTCGAAAAACCCAGCTACACAGAAGCAGACGGCTCTTGGCTTGAGGTAACGCCGCCGGAGATGTTGCGGTTCATTGCACTCCTCATTTACATGGGTATCGTGCAAGTGCCACGCCTTCATATGTACTGGAACACTGGGTCAATATACGGTGGTCTCCTTCCAGCGCAAATCATGAGTAGGAAGCGTTTCTTTTCTCTCCTCCCTTTCTTGCACGTCTCTGATCCGGAGGATCAGAGTACTGCATCAGCCGGAAAACTGCGGAAGGTGTGGCCACTTCTTCAACATATCAATGAGGTGTCAGCACGATTTTTCCAGCCACGGGAAGCCATTGCAGTAGATGAAAGGATGGTGAAATCGAAAGCAAGATCGGGAATTAGGCAATATATTTGTGATAAGGTGACGAAGTGGGGTTACAAATTGCGGGTTTTAGCTGAATCTGAAACAGGGTACACTTTACAGTTCTTTGTCTACACAGGCAAGAGGGAGACACCAGGACCACATGGGTTGGCTTTTGATGTTGTCAGTAAACTTTGTGAAAAATACTTGGAACAAGAGTACAAAATTTACATGGACAATTTTTATACCTCAAAGCATCTATTCGAACATCTCCTGCAATGCAAAACTCTGGCATGTGGAACAACAAGAAAAGATCGCCGAGGCTTCCCTGGCAATCTGAAAGAAACAAAATGGGAAAGGAAGGCTGAGCGGGCGGACATTCGGTGGGTCAGGGATGGAAACATCTTGTTTCTCCAGTGGAAAGACCGCAAGGCAGTAAATCTAATGAGTACAATTCACACAGCGAATGAACACATATCGGCAAAAAGACGTCAAAAAGTGGGGAACCGATGGACTGAGAGAACAATAAGGAAGCCCTTGTTAGTACATGACTACAATGCAGGCATGTTGGGGGTAGACAAATCTGACCAGATAATTGGAACATACAATGTCCTTCGGAAATGCGTACGATGGTGGAAAACACTGTTCTTCCATTGTATCGACATAGCCTGCGTAAATACCTTCATTCTTTTTCAAGAGCATTGCAAACAGCATCCCGACATTCCTGAGCTAAATTTGAGTCCCCGATTTGATCAGCTTTCTTTCCAAGAGATGCTCATCCAGGAAATTTTGAACCTAAATGATCAACCTGTCAGAGTTTCTTATCTGCCACCCGTCTGGATTCGGCACAAGCCGGAAAAGGTTGACACCCGAAGAAACTGCAAGTTGTGCTACGAGAACACTAAAAAGAAAGTGAAAACAAATGTTCTTTGCAGCACCTGTGAAGCACATCTCTGCTTTACCACCACCCGCAACTGCTTCTCCAAGTGGCACATGCGTCATGGGCGCTAAGATGAGAGCCCGCTAAAAATATACTTTTTATCTGAGAATGTTCAAATTTGGAAATATTACTCCTGATATTACAAGCTACAATTTGTATATTTCAGTTTTGTTTTAATCTGAATGCTGTAATGTATAACAGCAATTTTATATCTTCTCTTGTACACTTTCTTCAGTTTTCCTCAAATTTCAGAAATAAATTATGAAACAATATGAGGTTGTTTACTTTGAATTTTATTGCATTATAAAAACATGTGAATGGGCTACATTTTCATATAGAATAACCCATTGTACGCACAACAGTTTCTGATAAAAAAAAATATCATGTAGACACACATTGAGAAGGCCAGTTTTCTACGGTAAGGAAAGAGTTAAGTTCAATCTCCGTTGTGTTGGGTCCGCCGTCGATGTTGCTGACGGTCCCCTGCAATCGTCGCTCTGACAGGTCACGGTCAGCGGTGTTGCCATAAACCTTTTGCGGGTCAACATCGTGGCACGGAATCTTTACCAGTTAGGCCTAGTGCAAGAATGGCCTTCTCAAAGTGACAACATGACGTTCCGGGGGTTGCTGCGGGCCAACACTTGAAGGGGGGCTGCTGTGGGTGCGTCCAGATCAGCTGAAAGATGCTGCAGCCCCTTCGAGGAGCTTTGTCCAAGCGTCATCAAGGTCAATGGCTACACCACGAAGTGCCAGCGTCGTGGCTTTTGGTACCAAATGCCCTTTGCACCTGTTGGCATAGTGTAGCTGCCAATGCGACCCTCTTATCTCGTAGCCACACAAGCAATGCCAGCGGGGTTGTCTTGCATTACAGGTCATATCACACACATCAAGCCGTGTACTCGTCCATGCACGCGCTCATGCCTCTTGCATGTGCTTCTCCTGCTGCTTTGTTGTGGTAGTTTTCTACCCCATCTTTTTATTTGTAAGTAGCCCTATGGCTTTTATTTTATTTTAGAGGCATAATAAAGAACTGGTGCTACCAACATTAATCTCAATGTCATGTCATATAGTGATTGGAAACTCAGTAAAGTCACTACATTGTTCAAAAATGACAACAAAGCATCCCCATATAACTACCGGTCCATATCGCTTACAAGTGTCCCATCCAAAATTATGGAGCACATTTCATTTACCAACATCATTAATCACCTCGAACAGCACAACTTCATTCACCCTTCCCAGCATGGTTTTCGAAAAGGCCTGTCGTGCGAAACGCAACTTGCTGCCTTTATCCATGACTTGCACACAAATCTTGACCGGAACATCCAAACTGATGCCATATTTCTTGACTTTGAAAAGGCTTTTGATAAAGTTCCTCAGCACCGCTTTATGACCAAACTTTCTTTGCTGAATCTCGACCAATTCGTCTCGTGTGGATTAACAACTTTCTCACTGACAGAAAACAGTTCGTCGTCATAAATACAGCTAGGTCTCAAATCTCTCCCGTCCTCTCCGGTGTTCCCCAGGGAACAGTACATGGCCCCTGCTTTTCCTGATTTACATCAACGACCTTCCACACTGTATTACTAACAACATAAGATTATTCGCCGACGATTGCGTTATTTATGCAACAATCGCTAGTCATGAAGATCAAATAGCTTTACAGACCTAACAGCCGTTCAAAATTGGTGTCACAAGTGGCAGATGAGTTTAAACATTTCTAAATGTAGATCAGTGTCTTTTCACAGACGTACTAATTCGTTAAAGTACAACTACGCTCTACATAACAGTTTTCTACAACCGACTAGCTCGTATAAATACCTTGGAATACATATCTCAAGCGACCTATCATGGACCCTCCACATCAATCACGTCATTTCAACAGCTAGTAGATTTTTAGGTTATACCCAAGGAACCCTGAAGTTTGCTCCCAGCCATTTAAAAATATTAGCTTTCACCACAATAATACGCCCAAAATTGGAGTATGCCGCAGCAATTTCGGACCCACACCAGCATTATCTCATCCAAAACCTAGAAGCTATCAAAAACCGCGCTGCCAGATTCGCCTTTTCGGATTACTCATCGTTCACCAGTGTAACAGCCCTAAAGAAACGTGCCGCATTCATCCCTCTTAGTCAACGCCGAAAAACTGCGCGGCTCGTATTATTCCACAAATTCTATCACGCATCCTCATCCAGCATTCACGTCACCCAACGCCCCTATTTCTCTGCTCGTTGTTGCAACACTATGCAAGTACATTACCCTCGTCCCAAAACTAGCACATTTGCCGAATCTTTCTTCATTCAGGCAGCTAAGGAATGGAACGCCCTACTGGATACTATTGTTAGCATTCAGGATGCCGAAGCCTTTAAAAATTCCCTGTCAACCATCACTGAACCGTAATAATTTTTTTTCCCGGGTGACTTACCATGCTGATTCTTGTGTAATGGTTTCTAGTGTCATCTTCCTAGTATGGCTTATATGTATATTTTGTGTACTTGGCAATGCTTTGTACCTTATAAGTGGTATCTTTTGTCACTGCAAAATGTTTTTATCTAGAGTCGACAAACAAATGTACCTGTTACCCCCCCCCTTCTCTTCTCTTTTTTTTGTTTTGTTTGTTTCTGCCACTTCAACTATGTCCTAAATTTTTTTTTTTTTTTGTTGCACATCTAACTTTGCTTTCCCCCATTTCTTGTATGCCCACCCCTCATGTAATGTCCCTTCTGTTAGGGACCCTCGAGGAAAATAAAATAAATAAATATTGCTCGAATGTGTGTTATTCAATAATATGAAATTTCCCCAGGAGAGTTCTGAGTAAAGTAGGACTGGAAATTCTGGTAAAAAAAACACCCTGCCCTCACCTCAAGTGGCCTCATGTTTTGCAATTAACAGTTATTTACGGTATGCCTACTTTTCAATACTCTTTTACATATATCTTAAACAATCTTTGGTTGGTTACACAGTATCAACTTTTCCAGTAGAAGTACACATAACAGTCTTAAATTTGTGCAGTATAAGAAGTGTAAGAATTGAAAACTGACCAAAAATGTCACATATTTGAGGTCGATGACGTTGTTCATGACAAGGTCATTGAGGCGACCAGGGGTTGCAATGACTATCTCCACACCAAGGTTGACGGTCTGGATCTGCTCTCGTCGACTGCCACCTCCATAGATGCATACGCTGCAAGGCATGGCACCAAATACTGTCACCTCAATGAAAATCTGGTCAGAAAATTATCAGAACTTGTTAACTATCTGAAGCATGTCACTGGCACTCCCTTCTGTGCACTAAAACTACTGAAACACCGCACAGCATGGTTAAAGAAAAGTGGTGCCTTCAGGCAACCTACTGTGTTTGAGTAGCAAACAAACAAATGCAAAAAATTCTGCACAATAAGGACCTAAATGCACTGTTGTTAGCAATATCAGTGAATAGCAAAGGTGACAGAAGACTTCTGTATTGTACAGTTCACAAATCAGTTGTTCAACCTTGAGTGAAACCAAAGTTGGACATGATTAGATGTGCAAGATAATGTTATGAGGGTTCTACAACAAGATGTCCAGAAAACTGCAGTTGCGATCAATCTGATCAAAGATGGAGAGGATTTTAAAGATGATAGTCTTTCTTGGGAACTTTCGGCCCAAGAATTTTGGTCTGTCTGTGCATTTGTCTGTTTGTCAACTCTTAACGACGCCGGGTACTTGAAACGACCGACCCCATCCGCAGCGCCCACCATTGTTGCTCAAGATTTAGCGCTCACACTTGTGCAATCGTCAATTAAAAAGCAATTATTGCGCATGTCTGGGGCACCATAACAACACGTATATATTCTGCATGTGCACCTTTTACTAGAAAAAGCACACATAAGTAATTTTAAGGACCGTAGCGCTTATCACGCTGCGCTGACCATGCAACGCTTGCACGAAAAGGAGAGTGTTTCCAACGCTTTGCTAAGACGAGAGGGTGGTGGCACCTACCCGTCGCCTTACGTTCTACACCTTATCATCTCTGAGACGGGCACACACACTTGTCTCAGAGCCACGTGCTCCGTTTTCTAAGAAAACTACCAGATGGCGCTCATGTCTCACGTGTGACGTGACTTGATGCACTCGTTCGCCTCCGCTGCCCGCTCGAGGCACTCTAATGCAGCGCCTCCAAAATACCATTCACAGATTTTCTTGTGCAGAATATCAAATAAATGTTTTGTTCACTCTCTCCACAAGCAAGACTATCGTCTTTCGACACTTGCAGATAACATGCTGATACGGGGCCAATTTTTATACTTGCAGCACAACACACCACACGTCAGGACTTCAATGGTACTACAACTAAGCCGAAAAAACGTATTAATATTGCAGAGAAAGGGACATATAAAAGCTTGACCCACCAGCTTAGTTTCAGCATCATACGAAATGTAACAAAGGTATTTTTGCATTGGCTTCGAGGGCTACCACTGGAAGCATTGGTGCCACTTTCGACGTGACATGCTTGGCAGGATCCCATGGTCTCATCAGCCACTTCGGCTGCTTGTGGAGCACTGCTGTGGCTTTGTAAAAAAGTTTCAAGCTTCACTTGCACTGCGCTCCATAGAGCTTTTCTCACATTATGAATACAATCGAACCATCTGCAATAAGAGTGGTTGTCGCCGCAAGCGATGAACATGCTGTTCTTGTTGCTCAGAGATGCAATGGAGCCCGCTGTAATCCTGCACCGGGGTCCATGGGACAAGAATTGTGCGAATAGTGGATTATGGAGCTAAGAACCAGCAAGCAGTCATTGGCTACGGGTCATGATTACAACAAGCACTTCAATGACGATGACGTTTGCTACTGTTGAGTAGCAGAAAGCGCGCACTGAGATGATTGTTCGCACGCACTTTGTGCCAGTTAATGATGCTTACCTCTCAAAAGATGAAAAAGGCACTGTCTATCACCTCATGCAATATCATCTTGGACCATTTCCGTGCTACGTCTCGATCGTTGGCCCCATGTTCAGTGTCCACAGTATGGGCTGCAGACACTTTAGTTGTTTGGCTATGTTGGATTTAAAAATGCACACGGTTCCTTGTGCGTCCTAGGGCACTGACACGAAATTTCTCACTTTTCATTTTCTTGCGTCATATGATAGGCCAAGTGCCTGGGAGTATAAGAAATGTATCAGCAAGCGTGAGTGTGCCCTCAAAAATTAATTAAAGCATGCTTTTAAAAGCTTGTTTTGGTTAGTACTACAACTTGACCAGGTGGTAGCATGTGCACCTACACTGTTTCAGACTCCGCTTACTCGCTTCACGGGTACGCTGGATGACAGTGACCGTACGGCGCAAGTGGTCTATCAAGAAGGCAACGCGTAAAGCCAGACTGCTGCGTGAAGTCATCAGGATTAGTACTATGGCCAGAAGTCAGTGTTGATGTCATTAGGTCTGCCAAGAGAAAATCGTTTTTAATATTAAAATAAGCTATCAACATTTGCTGAGCGTCACACTAGCTCAGAATTGTCTCTATATAAAGGAAATTGGTATGGCAAAGTAAAGTCACCTTTGAAAAAAGGTGTTTGTACCCCCTTTATGATAATCAAATTTATTATTCTCTGGTCAGTAAATGTGTTGATTACCCCCCTCCCCCCTCCTGCAAAAAGTTTTTGCACCCTAACGCGGTTTCTTACAGCCTCCGTGACCGGCCCACCTATGATGATGGCTATGGAAAGCGACCATGTCATGTGAACACGTCATATTGTCACATCACATTATGTGGCACCATGATGATGGCATGACAATAGCACATATTTTTCGCAATTTGTGACATCATAATGATCTTGTATGATGATGTCATCAAGTGACTTTTTTTTCTTTTCATTACTCATGCTGACAACGTGGGATGCTTGCAGTCAAATTTCCAGGTTGATAAGGCACTGTCACGAACTTATCTTGGGGGCTCTTAAAAGGGATAGGATTGAGAGAAGGATGCGGGTGTGGCAAAGCAAACACTTTATCACACCAAACAAAATGACAAACAGTAATCTGACACTCAGAAGTAACTCCCAAAAAGAAACAAGTATGTCCACAATAATCGGCTATTCGCAACTCCAGAAAAATCCTTGTGCTTTAAACGATGGTAGAAAAAACAAACATGGCTGTGCCTAACGAAGTCAACTCGACACTTTTGCTCAACGCTGTGAAGAAGTTTCCTGATTGTGGCATCAGATTGCATTGCTTCTTCGAAAGCAAAAGGGTGCAGGCCGCGGACCGCCCCACTCTCATCGACATAAAGGATTCCACTGGTGAAACAGCGTAAATAGTTGCGCTGTGCGCACAAACATTAAGCCTCTTTATCGAACCGCATCAGATTTACTTCAAGTTGAACAACCTGTCTATCAAGCCCTAGGTTGGAGAAGGCAACTGCACAAGTGTAGTGGGCCTCTCCGAAAGTGCTAGAACTTTTGCATCGCGTTTTGGCACTGCATGCTACAGGCAAAGCTAGGCAAGGCCATAACAGTTTTCGATGTAACTATGCTGCGAACTCATCCTGCCAACTGCCAATTGCATGTATCCCAATGAATTATGTTGTCACGTAATACAATGAATATGCATGCCAGTTCACTTGATTACAGAGCAGAGCTATGTCTTAGCCAGTGTATCTCGAGATAAGGCAAGTCATATTTGCAATTGTAATAGGAGTGCTCCTTTATTTTCGTTCGCCGACCAATGTTACTACAGTAGTTTTCTAATAAATATTGTTACATAAAAATGACACGAGGCATGTCTATTCAGAATCTATATTCACACTGATGCGTATAGCGTTGACTAAGACTGGAGGATAGCACGCACAACCGACAGACCACTTCCTCGTTGTCGTCTTTTGACCGCTGATATGTCGTGGGTGTCAAATGGTCACTGTATGAAGGTCAAAACCTGGCAGAGAGCGTCGGCCTGGTGAGGCGAAAGCTCCGATCCAATCATGTTTCGAAAAAATAGCGTCGTCTGAGCTGGGTGATCGGTGAGACTGTGCCTCGATCAAGAGCAGGTACAACTGACAACACTGACATCGTTCTCTGTTATGGCAGTTAGCTGGGCTAGAGAAATCTGGCAGGGCAACACTTGAGGGGTGAAACCAAAGATAAGGTGCGGAAGGAACACACAGTTATCCGCTATGGTCGCGATGATATGGGGCACAGTAACACTGCATGTCAGCCAAACGTCAGTAATCGACGTAACGATATAATCCCCGTCAGGAACAGGAAGGGCCGATGACAAAGACACGTACGTGATGGCACGAGGTGGTTGGGCTCAAGCGGCTGGTGGGTTTTGCAAAGTAGTCGGCGAATATTGGAAGATCGAGCCTGAGGGTACCAGACGAACATTCAATTAAGGCCGAGTGTGTCGAAAGGGGAAATCAAGGTCAAGTATGAGGTCCACGGCGTGACGACCGGCAAAGCTGACACGAGCAGTGCACATTCCGATTACCGGTAGAGTACTGCCATACCGCCACAAAGATGTTACGTAAATATGACACGAGGCGTGTCTATTCAGAATCTATATTCACACTGATGCGTATAGCATCGACTACAATGGAGGGCACCACGCACAACCGACAGACCACTTCCTCGTTGTCGTCTTCTGACCGCTGATATGTCAGCTACGTAGCAATATGGTCATGTGCTTCCGAACACTCGCTTTTACTTGTTCATGTTGGCAGTAGTGAATATTCAAAACATATATGCACGCACACTACGCACGCTGCAAATGCACGGACATGATATATATGTATATATATGCACAAACATGTATACACACACGCACGACCTTTTCCCATGTGTGTGTAATACACACATGCGAAATTAAAAATGTTCTAAGGAAATAATTAAAGCAGTTTAATTTGTTGAATTGGCAGCACTACGACTAGTGCAGAAAAAACAAGCACAAGCGAAAAATACAGTGACACAGTTAACACATCAAATTTTCTGTAGCGCTTGCTTATATAAACAAAACTATACTCCGTGCTTAGGGAAGCCTGAATATTGATAAGAATGCACACACGCTAAGTAATGATGTACTCACCGAGGAAAATTAAGTCGTTGTGAGCGAACTGACTGGAACAAACTACCACAGTGCCCATCACTTTCTATTCATTGCGCAAGTTTCTGGTTTGTGCCGTTCTCCGCCGAGCGTCGTCTGCATTCTTCGA